TTTTTTTTTTTGTCCAGGCGCTGTCCATCAACGTCGCTGAAATTCTGAACGACTACAGCATATACGCCATGTTCCACGAGTTATTACGAGAGGCCGGTGAGTCTAGCGGTCGCTGAGTGTCCTTCCGTAATCCGTCCACGGTAATTGTCCGCGGTGATCAACAGTATACGGAACGGTGTTGTGTCATGGGCGCGCCAAAGTGGATGGCAGGAAGAAACAGATGATCGCTGACGATGACGATGAACGAATGCGCCCCGTGGCGGTGCAGGATGTTCACGAACCTTGGGATCCGCAAAATCACAACACCCGCCGCTACGCCAGGAATATTTTCTGCTTCCAACGGTCCGGTGGTTTTGGCTGACCCAGTGCCGCCCCCCGCATCCATGAAACCATCACCGTGTTTGCGGAGTTCTTCCGGAATTCCCGCGCTCGAATCCACATCAAGTCGACCCCTTTTGGTTGAAAGCGTCGACGACCCGCGGCCCTGTTGTTTTGTTTCATTTTCGTCTGCAGTAGGTCATCCACAGCAGCTGGCAGACGTTCGTACGTCCTAGCACGCGTACACATCGTTCCACCGCTCTCTCTCTCTCTCTCGCTCTCTCGCTCTCTCGCTCTCTCTCTGCTTTGCAAAGTCCGTGCCCTGTTGTGATGTATGTTGTTGAGTCTAGACACTAAACCCCATGGATCACCTGCCTGCCTCTTCCCCACGCTCGGCAGAGGCCGGCAACACAATCGAGCCGGTGCCTCCCGCGGAACTCGGTCACCAAGAGACCCCGCAGTACATCCAGGAGATGTCGTCGGTGTTCGCGGCCGTGTCGATGCGGGTTGTGCTTCGGGGGCAGAGCAGCTTTCACCACAACGACGTGTGCGGCCGCCTCTTCTTGACCACGCACGAGGCGAACGAGATGTACGCCTGCGACAACCAGGTACCTCAGCCTGCCCCATTTTCTGCGAAAGCCGCTGCTGCTGCTGCCGTCGTGGGAAAATGACATTGGAGGGGTGGCATACTGTATGGGAGGCGAACAGCAGCGAAGGAGGGCACCAGCGGGAGCCGGGGGGGGGGGGGTGGGGGGGGGGGGGGGGGGGGGGGGGGGGGGAGGTTAGGGAGAGATTCAGCGGTACATGGGAGAATCAGCAAGATTCAGCGGCAAATGGGAAAAACGAAAGTTTTTCAACAGCATTTCCTTCCAGAGTGCGAGATAAACTTCACAAGCACGAGCCTCGACGCTCTCTGCCGGATGTGAACAATACACCCGTGAAACAAGTACCACATACGCGGAGAAATCGACAACACACATTCGGGATGAATGTACAAGCAAGCAGACAGGCCAGCAGCGAAGGTCACATAACGGGTCAACGATGCCCACACCCTTCTCCAGTAACCCAAAAAGTTCGGTCATACGTAGCATTAGCATCGCATGACTGACAGTGCTACATACCGCAAGCAATGCACGCCCGTGATACCCACCCCCCCCATGTTCAAAGACTGAAGGACACATCCCCCTTCAGCACCAACCATCACATAGTTCTTCGGCAATGCTACACCCGATCGCCCAGCAGTTGCAAACATACGGGTCGCCCTGAACGGCCCTGAGCGATCACGAAAGCCACGCCCCCTCTCCGCAACCGCCTTTTCACCCCCAACCCCCCACCCGCCTCCTCACCCGAGCACCCCGATGCCGGTCAAGAATCTCTGGAATGTCAGCTCCTCCCCTCCGCAGAAGATCTCGTAGGCCCTCTCCATCTCCTCCTCCCGGAGGAGCCCGGGCAGCCCCGCCGCCGCCGCGGCTGCCGCCGCGGCTGCCGCCATCTCTTCCTCCAACTCCTCCTCGTCCTCCGCGGCGCACGGTTCGGCGCCGCTCCCGATCGTGCTCCTTGCGCCATCGGGCCCCCCCTCTTTGGCGGCAAGAGCGTCGCCTGATGATGCGGCGGCGTGGCCACGGTAGGGGAGCGAGAGAAACACACACACACACACGGCTGGGCTTGAAATAACCCTTTTGCTGTCCTCCGCTCTTTGCATCAGTGGCTTCCTACGTTCGGGCGAGGGCATGTGTGGNACGATAATCAAATTGGGAGATGCAGCATTCCACGATAT